TGTCATGAGCAGGCACCATCAAAAGCCCTATCATGAGCAGGTATCAAAGCATTGCCCCGCGTAAGCATCAAAAGCCCTGTCATGAGCAGGCACCATCAAAAGCCCTATCATGAGCAGGTATCAAAGCATTGCCCCGCGTAAGCATCAAAAGCCCTGTCATGAGCAGGCACCATCAAAAGCCCTATCATGAGCAGGTATCAAAGCATTGCCCCGCGTAAGCATCAAAAGCCCTGTCATGAGCAGGCACCAAAGCCTTGTCCCGTGCAAGCATCAATAGTCGTTTCACACGCAGGTACCAAAGCCCAATTATGAGCAAGTACCAAAGCCTTGCTCTACGCAAGTACTCAAAGTCTTGCTCTGAGCAAGCACTCTAAGCCTTGACCTGCATAGGCACATCAAAACCTTGCCCCGAGCAAGAACGACAAGCCTTACCCCGCGCAGGTACTGTAAGCCTTGCCAAGGGTAAGCACATCTAAGTCCTACAATGCATCAAATAAAAAACCTGACCACGAACCTATTCTCAATTCCATGGAAATAGAGCTCGGGATATCATTTCACATTAGGCTCGAGAGCCTGTCCTCGAGCTCAATACAATGTCAAATCTCAGTCACTAGCACTTGGGATAATTGTGTCACGTTGAGCTCGAGTGCCTGTCCTCGAGCTCAATCCATTGCTAAATCCAAGCAACAAGAGCTCGGGGGATAATTGTGTTACATTGAGCTCATGGGCTGTCCTCGAGCTCAATCCATTGTCAAATCCTAACCATAAGAGCTCGGGATAAGTCTCTCACATTAGCTCAAGACTATCCTCGAGCTCAATACACTGTCTAATCCCAGACGTAAGGGCTCAGATAATTATCGCACATTGAGTTTGGGCTACGTCTCCTATATGAACCATTATCTATTCATTGAGATCATTCTTTTCAAAAATTTTAAACAAAGCCTGAACTCGAGCTCCTTCTTTTCAACTTCTATACATTGTAGGGGTCAAGCCCTTACTTTAGAATTTTTCAACAAAGCTCTAAGTTGAGCTCCTTCAATTCATATCTTGAAAAGCTCAGGTCAAGCTCTTTCATTTTAAAATTTTAACAAAGCTTGAGCTCTAGCCCTTCTTTTCAAATTTTAAACAAAGTAGGGATCCCTCCCTTACCTTAAAACTTGTTTGAGGTCGAGCTCTTTCATTTTAAATTTGGGTAAAGCTCGACGTCGCTCATTCATGCCAAAATCCTCTACGAGGTAGGGATCAAGCCATTCTTTTCAAAATTTATTAACTAGCTCAAGGTCTAGCTTCCTTCTTTCAAAATTTTCAACAAGGTAGGGACCAAGCCCTTCCTCTCAAAATTTATGAGCTCGAGGTCGAGCTCTCGTCTTTCAAATTTTTTGACAAGGTTAGGGTCTAAACCTCTAAAAAAATTTTAATGAGCTCGAGGTTGATCTCCTTGATTTCAAGTTTTTAAACAAGGCCCGTGCACAATTTTCTTTCAAAATTTTAACAATGTTGGGGCCGAACCCCTTCCCTTCAAAATTTTAACAAGTTAGGGGACGAGCACATTCAAATTTAACCCCAAAAAAAAATTGATATCGGGCTCATTCCTTTCCGATTTTTCAAAGTGGTTGAAACTTAATATCCTAAATCTATGTGCTCAAGTGCCTATCAACTCGTCATGAGCTTGCCAACCTTTAGGCATGAGCATGACCACTTCTTGGCATGAGCTCATCAACTCTTTAGCATGACCCTGCCTAATCCTTGGCATCAACATGCCAACCTCTAGGCATGAGCATGACCATTTCTTGGTATGAGCCAGCTAACTTTTTAGCATAACCCTATCTAATCCTTGGCATCCACATACCAACCTCTAGGCATGAGCTCTCCAACTTCTTGGCATGAGCTCGCCAAATCTTTAGTATGATCATGCCTAATCTTTGGTATCAACATGTCAACCTCTAAACATGAGCATGACCACTCCTTGGTATGAGCTCGCCAACTCCTTGGCATGAGCTCGCCAACTCTTTAACATGATCATGCCTAACTGTTGGCATCAACATGCTAATCTCTAGGCATGAGTATGACCACTCCTTGACATGAGCTCGCCAACCTCTAGGCATGAGCACACCCTTATCTTGACATGAGCATACCCATCACCTGACATGCTTGTGCATCTCATCCCATAAACTTGCATATCGCGCAAGCCTCTGACATGGATGCACAGGAGCCAGTGATGTAGTCACTTTTGGCAACCTCCCGAGGTGATTCTCCCAAGGACTCACTGGTCTTGCTCTTCACATATTGGGGCACATAGTCCTCAGGGTAATATACCCAAGGAGTGGCAATTTGCATCCTCGTGATATGGTCAGTAGTGACCTCGGGCATCCTTTTGATATATGGGGTTCGTGAGTCCTCAAGCTATTCCCTTCATGCCGAACCCCCCTTTGTCAAGACCATAAGAAGTCCTACCTTCTAAGGACTCTTATATAATTCAAACATCTCAACCTAAGACTCCTACGTCCACAATAACTCTATGTCAAAAATAACATCATTCGTCATGCAATTATATTACAAATAAAATACTCATCTCAAGTATGACTTTATTGAATAAGAACATCCAACTAATTCAATCCTACTATGAGTACATTACCTACCTCTATAAATAAATGACCCAGGTCCATTACTCGGGTACGCTTTTACATGCAATTTCAGTATATATCCTCATATATATTCTCCTTCTGACTTAAGCATCGGAGGAGCGACGAGAACACATCTCGTTGCCTTTGTTACAAGTACCGAAAGGTCTCGTTCGTGCCATTTCTCACTCCTCATGTTCAGGAGATCTATCAAGTACGATTTTTTATAACATCAATGGTGATATTCATTTCTCCATCTATGCCTTAATAATCTCAATGAATTATATATATATATATATATATTTATTTATTTATTTATTTATAAAAGCAATAGCATGTTCACTTGTAAACATATAGAAGTTGTACGTTCCTTTTTACAATTATAATGATGAAATTGGAGGAAAGAAAAAT